CACATATATACAGAGGAGCACACATCACATATAAAGTAAATAAATAATATGAATTAAAAAAGATAAAGAAAATACATAAACCAATAAAATCTACTAAGAATAAAGGGAGGAGCTTTTGATTAATTAATAACAGGGTTAACGAGCGGTCGGTGTGGTTTCTCTGCCTTTCAGGTTAGTCATGTGGAAGGAGTGGAGGTGCCGCCGCTGAGTAAACAGTGTGTTTTAATAAAGGCTGAGAGGGAGCGGCCGGCTACGCTGCAGGAGTCGACTCAGACACCCGGTCAGATTTAAAGTCTTAACGGGAGTGGATGCTGTCACGGTGTCAAAGGTCGTGCATCAACGTGACTCAGAGTAAAGAGAACTATGTTTAACAAATGATGTGTCGGGGTGTGACGGGCTGACTCGTGTCTGACCGGCCTCATTGTCCAACATGTGGCTGGATTCATATAGAAAACACTTTTTTACAGTGTGGCTTTTATGTGATGTCATCGCTTTTCTGTTTTATTTTTATTTGTTGATTTTACTAATTTATTTTATTTCGACTGTCTCACTGATCTTTCTGTTGTTTTTATTGTCTTGCTTTTGCTGCTTTGTCCGTCAAATATATATAAATTAAGTTATTATTATTATTATTATAATAAAAGAATGTGTAAAGTCGTCTCCATTACAGTCTGTCCACCTTGTGATTTATTTGCACGTCAACTCGTTTTTTTCCGGAACAAGGTTGATTTTTCTGAGCTTCTGCACTGCGAATAAAAGCCTCTTCGAGCCATTTAGTGTTTCTTTATGTGTCTGTATATGAAGTCATGTGTGTTCACTCGTGGTAATTCATGGAGGACGGTGAAAATATCAATAGGTGAATCATTTATACGCGTCTTCTGTTTTTATCACTCGGATCCACTCAGAGCATCCCACAAAAAGGAAATTCACTAAAATATCTTACGGTATCTTGTGCTTTGGGCTCAATAGGATCCTGGTTTACAAACACTTCATGAAAGAAGTGCAGCGATTTTCGCAAATTGACATTCTCTGCTAAGAGTTTTAATCCGAAAATTTTGAGGCGAGTATTTCGCATATTTGCGTTGTTTATTCGTTCTCCTGTGTAAACGGTAAAGAGACTTGTACTTGTACAGAGCTCTTACACTACATGTCATTCACACACCTGCGGGAGCAATTTGGGATCGAACCGCCGATCCTCTGACTGTTTGAGCTACAGGTCAACATGTAAAGGACTTCAGATGTTTACACTGATCGACATGTTTAGTTACTATCTGGTATCCAAGTCTCTCAGAGGTTTTTCAGGTTTCGGTCCAGCTTCAGTCTACAGCCACGCAAAACAAAAAATGTAAACGCTAAAAAAAAAAGTAGATCCCGTGTGGGCGGGGTTACCGGACAGGTAAAAAAAAGAAAAACAGCCGTGTAGGTGCAGTACTCACAGTACACTGTAAGGTTGAAGGGGGCGCTCTTCTCCAACTGCAGCTTGTTGGCGGCGGTGCAGAAGATGGGACCCACCAGGTCGGTCCTGAGGACATCCGTGATGGTCAGAGTACTGGACAGTTCCTCCTGAGGTTCAGTCCAGAGCAGAAGGAACATCAGTTACACATTCGTTTAAAATATCAGGCTTTAAAATTTACAAATAAACTAATAAGCAAAAAAGACGATTTTTGATTTAAAAACAGTGCAAACATCTTTCACATGTTCGTCCGTACATGGAACTTAAGTATCATTAAGTTAATATGGGAAAATGCACGAGTGAAAATCTGCTTTATATATATCATAAAATGTGACCTTAATTTAATTCAAATGAATGCATGAAAACAACAGATGAATGAATGAATGAACTCCGTCTAAACTGACGTCTTTCACTGTGATCCGTTTGTCGGCTGCGATGGGCACGTCGCCCTTGCTCCAGGTGAAATCGAGGGAGGAGCCTTTGGCGGAGCAGGTCAGGATCACGGTGCTGTTGTGCTCGATGGCCTCGGGCAGGTTGGACTTGATGAGCACGTTAGACACCGGCTCTGTGGGGAGGAAAACCAGGAGGAACACGTGAATGAATCTGATGGCTGAATCTGATGAATCCCACGCTCTCTTATTCTCAGGAACAAACATGTTTCATTATTGATTATTTTGTGCGTGATGTTAAATGAAACCATCTATATTTAAAACCTGAACGACAAAACAAAACGGACCCAAACACAGCAGATAAACTGACAGATTCCAACGACTCTGCACGTGTTTCAGGGTGGATTCTTATACGAGGAATCCTCTTACAAATGAGCAGTTAATGGTTCAACATTAGGGTGGGTGGAGGGTTTAATAAGCTGCTCTCCCCAGAGGCCGCTTCCTCTCCACAGTATCTCTACTGTGCTCTGAAATCAACATCCGAATGAAAGACGGCAGAGAAACGGCACCAACTAGACCTGCTGGACTTGTTCTCTATTATCCTGGAGCTCCTTTTCTTGAATTGTATTTTTCTTTATTAACGATTATGCAACCGTATAGGTGCGTGGGAACAATGTGAGGGAGTGGTAACCAGTTCTGACTGCAGGGAGTCGTCACTGTGGAGGTTGTTGGGTTTTTTTAAACTGTCCCAACGTTGAGGGTCAAATTTACTTTGATGCAAATGAGGACAAAACAGACATTGTTGGTTTTGTTTTTGAGTGTGGTTCTACTGGTAAAACCAGTGTGTGGAAAATGAATGAATGGGGAGTCTAAGGGAATGCTGGGGAAACTGCCGACCAATCCTTTGATAAACAAAGATTCAAACCGACATCACGTCGTTGACACAAGGCCCTAAAGGAGACGTTTATGTTACCAGAGCGGACTGTGGCATCAAGTCCACTGACTGATCGTATTCACTGTAAACAGAGCGGAGTAAAGCTCCGACAATAAGTGGAGCAAACAGACAATCAACTGTTCGGATGATTGATCCTTTCATCCGGGTTTTTAAGAACAAGAATCAAACACTTGCTGGTTTTCAGATGTCAGCTTTTTGACATTTATTTAAACTGTTCTTTTAACTGTTAGGTAGCACATCCTTCATGGTTTGTGCTAAGCTAGCGTTAGCAATACGTTTTAAGAACAGCTGCAGCATACGGTAAATAAAAAGTATGTTTGTGCAACAAAAAGGCTTTTTAACAAAGAAAAACTGCATTCATAATTACTGTGTGTGTGTGTGTGTGTGTGTGTGTGTGTGTGTGTGTGTGTGTGTGTGTGTGTGTGTGGGTGTGAGTTTTAAAGTGACATGTGAGGACTGTACAATAGTGAAGCAGTGAGGGGACAACTTTAAACAAAGCACAAAACAAAAGACTGTAATGTAATTCAAGTACAGCAGTAAGAGCCGCACCCTAAGGAGCCAGTGCAGGAGGCTGCTGCTGGATCAGACCATGAAGTCACAACTCCTCCAACAGGAGAAACGTATTAAACTGGAACACAGGCGGCACTACTGCACGGTGATGTTATAAAGAATGGCACCACTTTACATAAACACAGCATCACCATGTAGAAAGGAACTCACATACTTCAGTTGTAGACTAAACAAATGTTCCCTCCGCCAAGAAACATAGTCCCTACGCTGTGTGGGAGCTGCAGGCAGGGTTACCTGCACTCCATCGGCGCCACGCCGGTTAACAGGTGTGGCTTCCCGATTGCGTTAGAAATTCGCTTGTACGTGGACTCGTTTTGAGTGACACACTGTGAACCCCCAAAAACCATGAATGGAAACGCTTTGATCTGGATCTCTGAGAGCATAGATGTAGTCCAGGCAGCAGTGATCAGTAGTAGAGAAGCCCCTTAAAAAGGACTACACCCAAGAGTTTATGAAATACTGTCATTTCACTTGCCATTGCGAGAATCAAAAAATATGTTTGAAGCATTTTTTTCTGGATTGTTTTCAGGCATGGGTGTAGTATTTCATATTTGTATTGTTTTTGTTTACTTACCCAGAACTCGGAGTTTTATTTCTCCGGTCCGGGTTCCAGTTGATATGATGCTGATGCTGTAATCTCCGCTGTCCGCCACCGTCAGGGGCCCGATGGTCAGGTAGCCGTTGGTCATGTTTAACGTCGCTCTTCCCTCGTAAGCCTTGTCCACGGTAACGATGTCATTACTCACGGTAACAACATTAACCGAGTCTTTGCCGTCGCTGTAATTCCAGATTATAGCTATGTAGTCTGGCTTGTCCACCAGCGTCTTTAGAGTCACAGTTTTCCCCACATTTGCGTCGATCGGACCCGGCGGCAGGACGCTTTCTCCGCCACAGAATCCTGAAGTCAGGAGAGAAAAAAGTAAAAGTTAGATCTGTGAAGCATTCGTTCTTCTCGTGTTAAATATAAGGAGGACGTAAATACAGGGAAGTACAATGATGCAGGGATACAGCGAGTTAGATTTTGGAGTTGAATAAGAACTGTGGTGCCTTTGACCTGGTAAAGCAGTTCAACAGGAACTTGGGGGGGAAATACATATATATAGCTGTTGATACCATATAGGAATAAAATGATACTATTATTTTCGTTACAGGGAATAAAATACATTACTTTACATTATTGTAGCATGAGTTCCAACAGGCTACACCCAGGGCGCCATATTCCCATGAACACACACGATGGAAACGCAGCGAGAACATGAATTAAATAAAAAAATAAAACACATGAATAATCGATCTATCTCACAAACGGAGTGCTTTTAATTCTTCTTCTTACCGATGAAAGAGAGCAGAAACGGAAGCGTCTTAAAGGCGAACAGATCCATCACGAGCGGTTCTTCAAGTCTTTATTCCAACAGAGACGGAGACCAAAATGCGGCAGTACCTGCTGCTTTTAGAGAGCACACCGGGACAAGGTGAACACACCCCCCCACACACACACACACACACACACACACACGTCATCGCTAAGAATGATGGTGCAGTCATGTGATTTTCAATGAATTATTTGCATTCCAGTTAATATTTAAGTTTCTATTTTACTCACAAGTTGAAGCTGTTAATAATATATATATAAAACGTCATTTTGTGTTTTAATGAGGGGTCCTATTTTCAGTAAAAACAAAGAACAAAAAAATTAGTGAGCAGGTTTTTTGTTGTCAGGATTCATGAAATGTAAAGTTTTCACATTAGTAACCCTTTCATAAACATCACTTAATGTGTCTTAATCAACACATTACTAAACCTACAATATTATAGTTTTACTTCATGGCATTATTTATTAACAAATAATCTTGATTTATTGGACACATAAAGGACTTTTTAAAGGGTTTGTTGTGTCTGTTGATAAATCTTCATTTTTGTATAAATGTTTTTTGTTTGTTTTTTAACAGAAACATAAATGCCACAAAAAAACCCTGAAATATCTTTAGGAAAAAAGTTGAATTGTTCAGTGAGGCGCTGCTGCCACCTGGGGGACACCTGGGGGACATCTGGGGGACATCTGGGGGAGTAATTTAACTCACTTTGACTTTAAACATAAAATTAAAAGTGACATACTTTACACAGTGCCTTTGAGGAAAGGTTAAACTAAGTTTTACATTTCAGTAAATAGATGGAAATATGTTATGAATGCATTTAAAGTTTGAACAACTAAATAATTGACTTTGTCTTTGAAATAACACACGATGATGAGATCTTGATTTGGAGTCAACTGTCTGAAGGTTCAAGAGTTTTTTTGATTGTTGCTGTATTTTGCCTTTCTTTGTATTTGGATATTATGGCAAATAATGAAAAAATGTTAATCTTATGAATTTCATAAATTTGATCTTTTATTTTCTACATGTATTATGTGTGATCCTATATTAAAACTAGCATATTGAGATATGACGTCTGTTGCCGGAAACTGGACCGATTGAATGAATGTTTGTGTATTTAGTCGTGTTGTTGGTGGATCCGGATGTTTTCACATTAATATAAATTAGATGTTAGAGATTAATTATGACCTGTTTACAATAGCTCTAATGATACACCATTAAGACTATTTGTTTTAATCCATAAAAATACGTTCTTTTATTTTTGTGTTTTTACAAGAAAACAACTATAAATTACAATAATGAAATAAAAGGATAATATTTAGAATGTTTGATGGTTTACTGACTTCAGTGTTTTGAAATTATTTTTGAGACGGTGGCAAAAATAATATTCTTGAGCCTTGTAGACCAGCTGCTGTAATCAAACAACAATATGGATCAGCGATGATCGGCAAGTAGTATCGGCTGCAAAAAACACATGATCGGAGATCCTTAAAAGTTATATTTGCTCTTTTTTTTAAACTTTTGTGCCGATCCGATTCTACTTTCTGTAGAACGGTGGTAGAATGTCATAGTGACGTCACCCATTGGTTTGTGGACTTCTTAAAGCCTCGGGTTTGGCAATTTGGATCGGCGCCATCTTGGATTACGGCCGTCATTTTGGACGTTTTGCAACCAATGAAGTGAAATGACAATATTTGGTACTTATACATCTCTGGTAGAGACCTGTCAATCACTGTGTAGCCCCGCCCTAAAGCATCCCCTGCTTTATGGTCTGTGTGACTCTAAATGGACCATAATGTACTAAATGAACATCATGCTGTATTGAAGAAGACTTGAAACTAGAGATTGAGACCATAAACTCATGTTTACAATGTTTACTGAGGTAATAAATCAAGAGAGAAGTAGAGTCATAGCTTTCATAGACTTCTATACAACCAGAGGAGTCGCCCCCTGACCCGGCTACCGGTGGCTGGTTAACTACAGCTACAACAATTGACGCTTCCAAATTTACTACGCGTCGCTTCCGAAACAGCGCATACACTTCATTTATTACATGTACCATCATCGCCAATAGGAGGCATAGGAGTGGCGAAACATTTTACAGGGTAACAGCTAACTGCTACGCTAAAGTACGGAAGCTAGCAGAAATTTATACAGCATTAACAGCCGTGGGAATTAGCGAGAAAGTTGCCAACATGCATGTATATAGTTTAAAGGTAAAGCAGGTAATTAGCCGCTGCAATTAGGTCTATAAATTAATTGGGGTTGAGCTAAAGCAGCTAAAATAAGCTACCAGCAACGGCGATAACTGGAAATGAGACAACATGCTTAACGCAGTACGTAACAAGTTAAGTCAAGCAGTTTTATTTATAAATCACATTACAAAAATGTTTAATTACTGTATATGGGACAAAAGATGCATTGAGACAATACAATCAATGAATGCATGTAAAACCAAAAAGCACAGCGCCAAAGACAAAACAAAGTAAAGACAAATAAACGCAGAATTTAGCGTCATGCAGCTTCACTTATTTCTGCTGCACACTTGTTTTTTTGAAAGAACGAGCCGAGTGAATCTTGTTTCGCAAACGCCGCAAGTAAATGTTTTCTCCCCGTCGTCGACACACGGGTGTTTTCTCGGATTGCTTTGTTGCGTAAATGTTTTACTACAAACTGAACAACTAAATGGTTTCTCCACCGTGTGGACGGTCATGTGTTTTTTCAGATTACTTTGTTGCGTAAATGTTTTACTATAAACTGAACAACTAAATGGTTTCTCCCCCGTGTGAATTCTTTGGTGGGTCTCAACCTCCCCTTTGCTTTTAAACGTTTTTTCACAAACCGAGCAGGTGAAAAGTTTTTCTCCTGTATGAATTCTTAAGTGTGCGATCAAACCCGACCTTTTCTTGAATGTTTTACCACAAACGGAGCAACTAAATGGTTTCACTCCTGTTTTGGACTTAGTGTGTTTCTTCAGATTTCTCTTGTTGTTAAACCTTCCAGCACATTCAGAGGAGCTGATTGATGTTTTTCCAGTATTACAGTCCGTATCACTTCTAGGTACTACATTGTTTTGCAGATGGCTTGAATTTGACTGAGGTTTCTTAGTCTCCTCCCAATCTCTACTGTCATCAGTGTCACATTCAGAGGAAGGTGACGTCTCGTCATCAGCAGCTGGTTGTAAAGGACTATCTGGATCAGAGTTCTCATCTGGTTCTGGTCCTTCACAGTCCTCTCCATCAGCTTCTGTTTCCATCTGTTCAGTTTGTCTTTGATGAAGCTGTGAGGACTGAGCTTTCTCTTCAGCATCTTCACTCTTCACAGTGAATGAGAACTTGATATCAGCCTCCTCCAGACCTTGAAGCTGCTCTCCCTCCTGACTGGTCCGGAGGTCCTCCTGACTGGTCCGGAGGTCCTCCTGACTGGTCCGGAGGTCCTCCCGACTGGTCCGGAGGTCCTCCCGACTGGTCCGGAGGTCCTCCTGTTCCTCTTTAATGTGTGGGGGCTCTGGGTCCTCCTGTTCCTCTTTAATGTGTGGGGGCTCTGGGTCCCCCTGGTTCAGACTGGAGCTCCACTCCTGCTGCTCTTCATTAACCACCAACAGCTGCTCGACGTCTGTGGCGGATAATGAAATACATACACACGTCTTAGAAATCAGTATTTCATGACACTTATTCATTAATCATTAGTTCAAAACAAGCTCCAACCTTAAACCAACTACAACAGTCAAATCCTGCTTTTGCAATAATGCAGAGTTTCCACCAGGTCTAAGCATCAGGGACAAAATACTATATACATAGATCCCAGATCTTTTGGAACACACTTCCTCCATCTTGATTATAAAGTTTAACGCTCCAGATGTAATGTTTGCCATTTCTCTCAACCACAAAACACATGTGGGTACAGAGAGTACACACCCACCTTTTTTAATGTATTTATGGGCAAAAGGTAAGGACCTTATTAGTTGTTTATTGTTGCATACTGGTTGGAAATAAAATGATGTCATCAGTATATAGGAAAAGATGTTCACACCTGCATGTCGATGGTAGATATTCAGGGGTTCTATCTGATACTAGTAGTCGTCTGTTTTAATGATACCAGAAACAAGGAGAAAGGGCAGCATAGACGGTTCCACAATGAATTGTTGAAGGACAAGAAATATTCTTGTTCATAATTATCATTATGAACTTAAACAACCACCATCACTATTGTTAGTACCATAGACTGTATACTATAAGACATGGACGTAGTCATCATGACGTCATCCATTGGTTTGTGGACGGTTGTTATGAAGCCTCGAGTTCGGCGATTTCACGTCGACATCTTGGATTACGGCCGTCACCATGTTTGTTTTTTTGCATCCGATAAACGGAAGTGACCATATTTGGAATGTGTTGGAGTGACGTAGAGACGCGGATATACGTCTCTGGTAGAGACCTGTCAATCACCGTGTAGCCCCGCCCTAAAGCATCCCCTGCTTTATGGTCTGTGTGACTCTAAATGGACCATAATGTACTAAATGAACATCATGCTGTATTGAAGAAGACTTGAAACTAGAGATTGAGACCATAAACTCATGTTTACAATGTTTACTGAGGTAATAAATCAAGAGAGAAGTAGAGTCATTTTCTCATAGACTTCTATACAACCAGAGGAGTCGCCCCCTGGTGGACACTAGAGAGAATGCAGCTTTAACACATGAAGCTTAGACAAACAAAAAATATATATAAAAAAATACCTCTGAGATGTAGTGGAAGTGAAGTATAAAGCTGCAGAGTTTTGAAATACTTAAGCACAGAACCTATAATTTTACTTCAGTGCACGATGTGAATGAACCAACCTGCTCTGTGTAACCGAAGCTGAGGGATGAAAACAGCGTCCAGTAGTCTCCGTTGTCGCTCGTTCTCCTCTTTTGAACGAGAGAGTTCCTCCTCGTACTCTGCTATCGTTCTTTCAAACACACCAAATATCTCTTCAGCAGCCGCAGTTAGTCGCTGGTTGACTAAACATCTCAGCATTTGGACTTTAGACATGTTCTCACTCTGACCTGCGCTTGTTGCTCGGGTCCGTCTACTTCCTGCTAGCATGCTAACCTCATTAGCTCCGTAGGACACCAGGAGACAATCCGGACGTTTTAAATGAAGCGAGACAACACAGAGTCCACTCAGACAGGTTCATGTGGACTTTGTGGGTCGATGAAAAACACAGTTTAGTTTCTATCGAACAGAGACTCCGACTAGCGCTGTGTAGGTGCGTCTCCGTCTATTTCCTGCTAGCACGCTACGCTAGCTTCGTTTAGCATTCGTGGCTAACAGAGATGAGTCTGAGGTAAAACACATGCGGGCTCTGGTGGTTCACTCCGGTTGTTTGTTTTAATCTGATGAACTGTGTGATGGAAAGAGAACTCACGAGGGAAACCGGTTTACAACAAGGAGGAACGAACCTCTTCAACCGCTTCTTCTTCTTCTACTACTGCTATTAACACTACGACTTCTTCTTCTTTATGTTAATGGCGGACTACAAACCAACGTTGGAAGTGCATGCTGCTCTCTACTGGACTGGAATATCAGAGCTATATGGCAGTTTTGACATTTGAAGACAATATTATTATTATATAACAATAACTATTATTATATTATAATAATTGTTATAATTATATAGAGTATAATTATTTACTGTAAATTATTTTCTTATTTAAAAATGTTAAAATGTATCATTACATTTAGGCAGAAGGAAATAACTGGACGCTTAACACAGTATATTTACATATAAACTGTATATATATATATATATATATATATATATATATTATTGTTTTATAATTTACATATATAAATGCTCTTCCTCTTTGTTGCAGCTTGCTGGGTAGCCCTTCAAAATAAAAGCCCTTGCACTTATAAAAATAATATTTTTCTATGTGTTTTATGGCAGACTAGAGGCATATAGGGCATTGTTATAAAAAATATGTCATCGTCAAATTTAAGTTATTTCTCACTAACTTGGAAACAAAAGTCTCAAAACATTTCTCAACATAAGAACCAAATAAGTTATTTCTGAAGCTTTTTAAGTGCAAGTAGAGATTAAAGAAACATCTGGAATAAATGAGGAAGCTCTTTCAGTTTTTGTGTTGCCTTTATTTAAGTTCTCTAAGTTTAAAATATTTATAATAATATAGTTCACATTTTATAACATCTTCACAGCTCTGAGAAAACAAACAAAATTCAAAATGTGATGATAGTTTGTTTGACTAAGTTTCATATGGAAGAAAAAAGGCTGGGTCTCGGGGTATAAATCAAATATTTCATCTGTTTTTGTTGCTGACAAATTGTTTTGCTGGATGTTGAAATAAGATTTATGTTTTTATTAGACAGTTAAATGTATAACAGGGCTGCCAACCTGTGGACATCGGTGCATAGACGGCTCCTTGCGTCTCACCACATATTAATAAACAATCATGAATATATAATTGAGTAAGAGGGTCAGTGTGGGGGAAGAGTTTTCACTTGTCTATGTAGTAAATATGCTCCCAACAGATCAATATACAGAATATAAAAGTCTTGAGAAGTACATGACATTATCATATAAAATCAGATCTGTCAAAACATCAACTTATCACCAGATAAACTACATTCTAATGTATCACTCATTTATCATCTCCTGTGCAAAAAGGAAATAAAAGCAGTTCAGCAGCCTTAACTTGCATGCTACGTTACAAATGGTACATAATGGTATCAGCGATGTTGAAGCATGATGGGAGATGGATCCCAGCACCAGAGGTACCCGATTCTGGAGCTCTGCAGCAGGAAGCTATTGTGCCCTGCTAGCAGTTGATCAAATATTACAACACATACAACACATACCATGAGGCGCATTACCAACTGGGCCACTGGAGCGGACACTGGGGACACGTTGATTTTCAGCTGCATATAAAATACAATGCGATATTGAAAAATGCGATTAATGATTTCAAATGTTTAACCTTATTATGGCTCGAAACCCAGTTGAACTGGTTCTAAATGAGTAAAAACCCAGAGTATTGATGCGGTCCAGAGTTATCGGTTCTGCTATCGGTACTTTCTTAGTTCTGGAGTGAGACGGCCTCGTCTCAAAACGTCCTCTCTCCGTCTTTGTCTCCGGCTCAGTACAGCGTCGAGACTCACATCATGATCAGAGAGAAGAAAACATTGTAGAATTCTGGTCGTCTCAAACACAATAAAACCCTCACAAGTAAGTTTATCACAACATGTGACCAACAAGCAGAACATCAATGTGTTTGTGGAGCAGCCGTCGGGTAATGTTAGTGATGTCAACACTACAGGTAACGTTAGTGACGTCATACGGAGTTTGATCACAAGAACAGGATCATAAATGAAAGATAATCACTTAGGTAATTGTTTAACTGAGAATGTATTTAAAAGATTTTGGAACTTTTTGTTTTACTGCTCAAGAAAAACTTTGTTTTCATATAAGAATAATAAAGCAATGCCGATTTTTTTCAGAACAAATTGTCCTTTTTCTCTCACAATATAATCAAAAATAACTGATAAGAGTGTCGATAAGGAACCAAACCGATAACCAGTTTTGGATAAGAGCACTTGTATCAATAAAATCCTAACAATACTCATCTATAAACTTTATTACTTTTACACTGGACAGCTACATTCAGTTTAAACGTTTCTGAAATTCAGAACCTACCAAATATTATGTTGCGTTTGTATCGGCCATGTGTTCGCGGCGGGCATGCCGACTTCCGACTACTCGGCACTTTACAGGCGTGCGCCAGCGTGAAAACTTCTCTTCCAACAAGAGGCCAGAGGAAAGTCAGTGGATGTGACACAAACACTGCAACTGACGTGTGTCATAGTTGCTATTTCTGTAAACTTCTTACTACAAACTGTCAGACTAAATGGTTCCTCCCCTCTGTGAGAGATTTAGTTTTGTGTAAAACCGAAAACAGAACTACTAGAGTGGGCTCTCTTCTGTATGAGTTTTCATGTGTACCTTCAGATCTGCATTGCGCACATATTTTTTATCACAAACTGAGCAACTGAAAGGTTTCTCTCTCGTGTGGATCATCATGTGTGACTGTAAAGTTTTACTATGTGTAAACGATGTGTCACATACTGAGCAGCAGTAAGGCTTTTCTCCTGTGTGAGTTCGCATGTGCTTCTTCAGATCTCCACTGTCAATGAAACCTTTCTCGCACACAGAGCAGCTGAAAGGTTTCTCTCCTGTGTGGATTCTCACGTGTCTCTTCAGATGTCCATTTTCAATGAAACCTTTACCACACATTGGGCAACTAAAAGGTTTTTCTCCTGTGTGAGTCATCATGTGTCTCTTCAGAGATCCACTCTTGCCAAATGTTTTCCCACAATCAGAGCAGCTAAATGGTTTCTCTCCTATGTGAGTTAGCTTGTGTCTATTTAGCTCTAAACTCTCGCTGAAACCTTCACCACACACTGAGCAACTGACCGGTTTTTCTCCCGTGTGAGTTCTCATGTGTCTCTTCAGCTCTCGATTTACAATGAAACCTTTATCACACACTGAGCAGCTGAAAGGTTTCTCTCCTGTGTGAGTTACCATGTGTCTCTTCAGCTCTCCACTAATCATGCAAGCTTTACCACACACTGAGCAGCTGAATGGTCTCTCTCCTGTATGAGTTCTTATGTGTCTCTTCAGATCTCCACTACTACTGAAACCTTTACCACACACTGAGCAGCTGAAAGGTTTCTCTCCTGTATGAGTTCTTATGTGTCTCTTCAGATCTCCACTTTCAATGAAACTTCTATCACACACTGAGCAGCTGAAAGGTTTCTCTCCTGTGTGAGTTCTCATGTGTCTCTGTAAATGCCTACTCTGTGTATAAGACTTCTCACAGACTGAGCAGCTGAAGGGTTTTTCTCCTGTATGACATTTGATGTGACTCTTCAAATTTCCCCTGAAGCCAAATGTTTTCCCACACACAGAGCAGCTAAATGGTTTCCCATTTGTACTACATCTTGAATCACTGCCAGAAACTTCATCATTTTTTAAAGAGTTTAAACCTGACTCAGGTTCTCTGGTCTCCGTCCAATCATCACTGTGTTCAGTCTCAGGTTCAGAAGAGTCTCCAGTCTTGTCGTAAGTATGTGGTTGTAAATGTGTATCTGGATCCGAGTTCCTGTCTGGTTCTGGTCCTCCACAGTCCTCTCCATCAGCTTCTGTTTCCATCTGTTCAGTTTGTCTTTGATGAAGCTGTGAGGACTGAGCTTCCTCTTCATCATCTTCTTCACTCTTCACAGTGAATAAAGTGAATGGGAACTTGATATCAGCCTCCTCCAGACCTTGAAGCTGCTCTCCCTCCTGACTGGTCCAGAGTTCCTCCTGTTTCTCTTTAATGTGTGGGGGCTCTGGGTCCTCTTGGTCCAGACTGGAGCTCCACTCCTGCTGCTCTTCTTTAACCACCAACAGCTGCTGGACATCTGTGGAAAACAGTAAACACACAGAGACGTTACAGAGATTTCTTTCTAATATAGCTAATTAATTAAAATATTAATTATCGTCATAAACTATATCCACTTAGCTAATTCATTCTTTAGTACCTTGACTTAGGAATTACGGTATTCTGTATGGTTATTTCAGTATATTTGAAGAGTTTGACCCCTTTGCTATAGGAACAATGGATAGCATAACTTGGCTCCATTCTTATCATCGTTTGGATCAGCAGAAAAAATAGGAAAGCAGGAAAAAGGATACTAGGGCCCCCTTCTGGAACCAGACTTGGGAGGAGAGGTCGCCTGCAAGGGTCAGGTGGCCGGGCCTGGGCACATGGGGCGCGGGCGGGCACAGCCCGAAAAAAAACTTAATGGAGCCGCCGCACCGTGGGCCCACCACTCGCAGGGATACACATTGGGGCCGGGTGCAATGTGAGCCGGGTGGCAGGCTAGCTCTGGGGACGTGGAATGGCACCTCTCTTTCGGGGAACGAACCAGAGCTGGTGCGGGAGGTGGAGCGGTACCAACTAGATATAGTTGGGCTCACCTCCGTGCATAGCACTGGTTCTGGAACCAAACTCCTAAAGAGGGGCTGGACTCCATCCTTTTCCGAGCTGCCCAGGCTGAGAGGCGTCTCAGCCTGGGCAGCTGAGCACCGCTGTGTTGGAGTTTTCCCCAAGAAATAAGAGTGTCCCCTCTATGGGGCAAGAGTCTTACTTGTTTGTGGCTATGCATGGAACAGCAGCTCGGAGTAACCGACCTTCTTGGAGTCTCTGGGTGGCATTCTGGAAAGTGTGCCAACTGGGGACTCTATAGTTCTGGCGGGGGACTTCAACGCTGAAGGCTCTGGACATTGTTGGACTGTCTTGGGTGGCATGCATCGTCAGTGTTGCATGGAGGTCGGGGACAGTGCCTGTGGAGTGGCAGACCGGGGTGGTGGTTCCCATTTTTAAAAAAGGCGACCGGAGAGTGTTCTCCAATTATTCGGGTATCACAATGCTCAACTTCCCCCGAACAGTTTCTACTAGCCATATGGTCCTTATATGACCAAAGTGAGAGCTGTGTCCGAATACTCGGCACAAAGTCAAAAAATATTTCCAGTGCGCGGCCTCTGCCAGGGTTGTCCCTTCTCACCAATCCTGCTTGTAATTTTCATGAATGATTTCAAGGCTCAGCCAGGGGGTTGAGTGTCCTGTTGGGGATCCACAAAATTGCATCTATGCTCTTTGCAGATGATGTGGTTTTATTGGCTACTTCAGACCTTCAATACGCATTAGAGCTGTTTGCAGCAGAGTGTGAAGCAGTCGGGATGAGACTCAGTACCTCCAAGTCTGAGGCCATGGTTCTCTGCCAAAAAATGGTGGATTGCACCCTCTCAGTTGGAAGTGAGTCACTGCCCAAGCAAGGGAGCTCAAGTATCTCGGGGTCTTGTTCAATAGGGTAAAATTGAGTGTGAGATGGACAGGCGATTCGGAGCGAAATTGTACCGGGACGTTGTGGTTAAGAGGGAGCTGAACCGTAAGGTGAAACTCTCGATTTACCAGTCCATCTACGTTCCGACCCTCATCTGTGGTCATAAGCTTTGGATAGTGACCCAAGTGGCAAAAATGATCTTCTTTCATCGGATGTCTGGGCTTAGCTTTAGAGATAGGGTGAGGAGCTCAGACATCCGGAGGGAGCTTGGAGTACAGCCGCTGCTCCTTTGTGTCAAAAGGGGACAGCTGAGGTGGTTTGGGCATCTGATCAGGATGCCTCCTGGACTTCTCCTTTAAAAAGGTTTTTTCAAGGTAAGTCCAACTGGTAAGAGACCCCAGGGTCGACCCAGAACACGCTGGAGAGATTACATATCTCGGCTGGCCTGGGAACGCCTTGGGGTTCCCCAGGAAGAGCTGGAAAGCATCGCTGGAACACCCTCCTAAGCCTGCTACACCCACGACCCGGCCCCGGATAAGCAGAAGCTACTGGATGGATGGATGAAATATAATAATAAAAATAATAACTTTTAGAGATGCCCCGACCACATTTTATTGCCACGGATACCAATTGATGATTAGCCATATCGACCAAAACAGATTATTTTCAGTTTTTGTTGTGGTTTTGTTATAGAACAGGGGTCGCCAATTGACGGACCGCGGTTCGGATACGGACCCAGACGCCGTTGTATCCGGACCCAGGACCTAAAATCGATTTTATTTTGACAGGGCGCTTCTATTTTAACCGGCGCAGCTTTTTCAGCCTTTACGGCACTTGTTGAGCGGTGCAGGAAACGCACCGACCAATGCGTTGTAAATCACATCACGTGATGCAGCTCAGCCAATCAAATATGGGTATTCTCACAAGTTTCCTGAATCGAGTGAGATGTACACACACCGGGGGAGAGATGAGGAAAGAGCAGGAAAATAATACGCGAGTCAGAGAAGTTCACATGACGTTCTCCAAAAAGAAAAAAGAGACCAGAGTCTTTAAACAAGAATGAACAGACTCTTATAGGTTAATACTTCACACGGACAGTTTATAACCAGTGTGTCTCATATGTTCAGAGACCGTGACGATTATTAAAAGCGGTAAATGAAGCAACACTACGAGACAAAGCACAACTCTTTTGAGCAAACATACCCACTCACATCTGAATGAAGACACAGAAAATAAATCTAAGAGCCCAAAATGATCAGAATCCTAACGCATGAATTCACTGACCAACAATGATGTTAACAGAGAGGAATAGAGCTGAAACAAGTGGTTTAATAACCACACATAAAGTCCATGCACACTGATTTATCTTTTTTATTGACATCACTTTATGGCAGAGTGGCCCGACGGAAGCCTCTCCTCAGTGCAAGACATATGAAAGCCCGCATAGAGTTTGCCAAAAAACACATGGACTCCCAGACTATGAGAAATAAGATTCTCTGGTCTGATGAGACCAAGATTGAACTTTTTGGCGTTAATTCTAAGCGGTATGTGTGGAGAAAACCAGGCACTGCTCATCACCTGCCCAATACAATCCCAACAGTGAAACATGGTGGTGGCAGCATCATGCTATGGGGGTGTTTTTCAGCTGCAGG